TATATATATATATATATGTTCACCACCAACACCACAATAATGATGGTAATCGCAGGAGCAGCGGGAGGAAGGGGAGCTGCGGTAAGATGAAGATTGGAGGTGAAAGAAAGAGCATGTTTGCGTGCATAAGTTGCCCTGATGATGCGCTGCAGCACCGGGGACACGCAAACGGATTCGGTTCACGTCCAGTCCGATCCGCTCTTATTTTAATGCGGTGGAAGATGCGCTTGTGTGTGTGTGTGTGTGTGTGTGTGTGTGTGTGTGTTGGGGGGAAGAGCGAAAGTGAGAGTTCCGCTCCATGTGATCAATCCAAGTGTATTTATTTGTTCGGACGGGTTTCGCTAATTGAACAGTTTGGCTCGAACCAATCAAGCGGAGGGAGAAAAGATGCTGATGATGTTGTAGGCCAGCTCGCAGAAGTCACATTGCCTTTCAGATTGTGAACGAAGATTACATTGACATGGCAACGCAGAGAACTCTAAAATCTAATTAGACCCCCCCCCCCAAAAAAAATATCCACTTGTATTGAAGGCCAAAAAAAAACTGAAGACTGTTGGCAATAGATGAAAATATATTTCCTTTTCAATCAGTGCTCAATCAAAGTGGCAGTCAGGAAGTGAATGCAGAGCAACGGAAACATCAAAACAAACCATCCTCATGCATGTGTCTCATTTCCCAAATATGAACAACTCACCATGTGCTCACTCATTTGACTATTTACCTTGTGAGGTGGGTTGATGAAAATCGACATGCGTACACAGACATCGTCATTCGCGCAGACCGCAGACGGCTGGTGAAGTTTGTGTGCAAAAGCAGTCGGGCCACAAAGCTTCATGAAAGCGTCCCCTGTCGCGCAGGAAGATCATCGAGGTGCGGATCATCGACGACGAGGAGTACGAGAAGAACAAGTCCTTCAGCATCGAGCTGGGCGAGCCGCTTCTGTTGGAGATTGGACAGAAGCACGGTCTGTGTGTGTGTGTGTGTGTGTGTGTGTGTGTGTGTGTGTGTGTGTGTGTGTGTGTGTGTGTGTGTGTGTGTCTAAAGATTAAAAAAAAAAATCTCAGAAGCTCTGAAATTCAGAATGACTTGTGTTGTTAAAGTGTTCGGATGCTTGTTGTTGGTTGGTCAGGAGACTCCAATGAGAACAAACCGCCGGTAGGAGCAGAGGAGGACGAGGTGGCCAAGATGGGCTGCCCCAGCCTGGGCGAGCACACGCAAGTCCACGTCGTCATCGAGGAGTCCTACGAGTTTAAGGTACGGCGCTCACGTCCGTTCACTGCTATCAACATCATGTAGCAGTTTCCGGAGCTTGTCTTCATCTAGGTTGCAAACGGGTGGAACATTTCTGCTCAATGTCCAGAAAATTACCACGCGCTCATTTTTCATTGATCATGTGTGTATGTGTGTGTGTGTATGTGTGTGCAGAGAGCAGTGGATGTGCTTTTGGAGCAGCGTAGCAAGGTTGTCCATCTCTCTCTCTCTCTCTCTCTCTCTCTCTCTCCCACCCCCACGCCCCTTCCCCCGTCTGGGAGTGATTTAACAACCGGAGATTTCTCTTGCTTTGCTCTTTTCCGCCGTGCCTGGGTGTGCTCGCCTGTGTGTCCTATGTGTGTGTATGTGTGTGTGCGTGCAGAGTACAGTTGACAAGCTGATCAAGAAGACAAATCTTGCCTTGGTGGTGGGAAGCAGCAGCTGGAGGGAGCAGTTTGTTAACGCGGTGACAGTCAGTGCAGGTATACACACACACACACACACACACACACACACACACACACACACACACACACACACACACACAAAATATA